AGGATGAGAATCTCCGAGGCAGATGCCAGTCTTTCAAAGGAGGAGTCCGCCTCGGAATGTTACCACGTCTGCTTCCTGGGACCTTGCAGAACCATCGTTGGCGGCCCGTCCTCCCCTTTTCCCCATTGCTGGAGGCTGTGGCTTGAGCAGAAAACCCCCAAGGTTGGCTCTGGAATGATGACCCTGAGAAGGGAGAGGAGCTGTCGTGAGTTTGATGGGTGGCTTTTGCCTTTGGTGTGGAAGCCATCAGGACCTTGCACAAAGCTGCAGGTCGGAAGTCAGCCTAAAAATAGATGCAGAACCTCAGGTCTTCTTCTCTCGAGGAAGTTAAGTAAAGATGAATAAAAAAGGGAGTGAAGGTGTTGTGTCTCTCAGATACAGACAGAGAGGACGAGGCGTCTCCAGTCACCGCGCCTTTATTTTCCAAATGGGTTTCAAATGTGTATTTTGTGCCAGGAGCTGTGCTTCCCTGTCCTTTCGTCCTCTGCTTCTTATCTCGTAGGCATCTTGATGGTGATCACAGTAACCGTCCACAGAGCATCACTTGCTGGCAAACGGCTTTCTAGGAATGGAAGAATGAGTGTGTGCAGTTCAGAGGCCCACAGCCTACTCTGCTTTTAATCACCTGGGTCACCTGAACAAGTCATTTAAATAATGTTTCTCCGTTTTGTCCTCTGTAAAGTAGGGAAAGTATCGCCGTCTTCCTTCTAGGGATGTTGGAAAGGGTACAATGAGTCAATCCACGTGAAACACCTAACCTAACCCTGGAATGGCTACCTGGAATATAGTAAGTGCTCAGTAAACATCACACACGTGCATGCACACACACACGTGTCTCAAATGTCTCCTTACCTGAGAGGCCGTCCTGGCCCCTCTGTATAAACAGTACCCACCTCACCCCCCACCCCCATCTCCCTCTCCCGTTCTTCCTCTATTGGTCTCTGCAACACGTATCATGTGACCATCTGACCCCCTACGTAGTTACTTGTTTATTTGTTTGTTTGTTGACTGTCTTCCACCCCCGCCCCCTCTCGAACCCTGCAAATGCCGAGGTCTCTGTTACTTGTATTTAATGCTTTAGTCCCTGGAACGTGGGTAGGTGCCTACTAAATATGGGTGGAACAGATGAGTCTCTATTTTAGAGTTGACCTCCAGGCCCAGACTCAGGCACAGGGAGGTAAAGCGACTTACTCAAGATCACCCAGCTACCAGCAGCTGAAGAGTCTGGAATCATTTAAATCTAAAGGTTTAAATTCTAATTTAAACCATGAATGCCTCCCTGCCGGTAAAACAAAAAACAGAAAAACTAAGTGTAGTGCCTGCCACACAGTAAGGATTTAGTAAATGTTAACTAAAGGTAATAGGGGTCATCATTCCCGCAGCAGCTGTCCCCTGCCCCGGGACGCCCCCGTTTGGCTGTACCCCAGCTTTCTGAGCAGTACTCAGGCATCAGTGGGCACAGTCTTGAGAAGATTAGGTGGCATCCAGGCCGGTGGGCAGGTGCGGCGCCAGAATTAAAGTGAGTTCGTGCCCTTTCCCGGAGGGCTGCCCAGTCCAAGGGAGGGGAACGGCACTCTGTGGAAGATGTCGAGTTCCCGGTGTTTCCAGAGTTGGTGGGAGCTTCCAAAACATGCCAGTGTCTCTCCTGGTTGTCCTTTCACTTGCTTTTTTCTTTCACCCAAGGCTGAGGCGGGGCTTGCAGGGATCTTAAAGGGCAGGAAATTGTCTCCATTTTCTGGACCTCGTCCCAGTTGTCCTTTGGAAGGTTTTATTGCTCCCATCTTTAAGATGAGTAAACTAAGGTTCAGGGAGGTGTAAATACTGAAGCCGGGATTCAAACCCAGGCCTGCTGGATCCCAAATACCTCACACCCCTGCCCACTGCTCAGATGCTCTTATAGTCGGATTCTGATTTGTCAGCATGTATTTTTTTTAAAGCATCCTTGAACTATTGGACATGTTTATTTTTTTCTTAACTTTTCATTTTATATTGGAGTATAGTTGATTAACAATGTGGTATTAGTTTCAGGTGTACAGCAAAGTGATTGTTATACATATACATGTTTCTATTCTTTTTCAAATTCTTTTCCCACTTAGGCTGTTACATAATATTGAGCAGAGCTGCCTGTGCTATACAGTAGGTCCTTGTTGGCTATCTATTTTAAATATAGTAATGTGTACATGTCAATCCCAGACTCCCAATCTATCCCTCCGCCTCACCCTTCCCCTCTGGTAACCGTAAGTTCGTTCTGTAAGTCTGTTTCTGTTTTGTAAATAAGTTCATGTGTGTGTCGTTTTTTTTTTTTTTAGACTCTGCATTTAAATGATATCATATGATATTTGTCTTTCTCTGTCTGTCAGCATGTATTGAGCAATAACTCCAGGCTGGGTGCCATGCCTCATTTTTTTTCCTTGTTTGCTTGTTATGGTTTTTAAACTGTTTTCTCCAAACGAGGGGACGGTATGTGTAAGAGGTACATGGGGGAGGATACTTTGTCTTGTAATCTTGTGATTCTTTGGATTACAGCAGCTATGGGGAAAGAGCCCAGGCGCTGAAGGAACACTGCCCTGAATTCAGATACGAGCCCAGCCTCTGAAGTTGCTGTGTGACCTGTGTCGAGTAATCAGCCTCTCTGAGCCTCAGTTTCCATATTTGTAAAATGGAACAAGAACTCTTACTTGGAGAAGACACTGAGGATCTGAGATATTGAATAGAAAACGCCGGGATGCTTGGACCCTGGTGCTGGTTGGCCGTCACTAAGCTGTGGCTCTTATTATTATCGTTGTTGTGCTTTAGCACATGGTGTTATACTTAAGTGTTCCTTCTTTCTTTGCCCTGTTTATCTTTGTCCCTCTTAAGGGTGCAGGCCGAGCCTCATTCATCGCGGCATCCCCGCCTTCTAACACAATTCTTGGTACGTGGTTGATGTGCACTAGTGCGGGGCACACGAACGAGTGAACAGATGAACAAATAAAGGGGCCCACAGTTTGTCGGGACCACGCTGGCCAGCTGTTGGGGGATGTATTTCCTGGAGTCTTATCCCCTCTTGTCAGATCCAGGCGGGGACAACGGTACAGTAGTTCCATTGTTCCCAGATAGCACTTCCTATCTGAATGTCTCGGCCAGGGCAGCCCTCGGCCCCACCCTGCCCTGCTGCCCTATCACCCACCCCTACTTGGACGCTGGCGGGCTCCCCGCTAGCCTGCCCCGAAGGAAGCTTCCACGGCCCCTCGTCTCCCCGACTCCCTTCAGTCACAACAGTTGTCGAAGGGGGCATTTCCTCTCTCCAGAACTTTTCACGTTCCAGTGAAGACCTAGAAAACGCTAAATCAGAATGCTCTGCGTGAGCCTGACCCTTCAGAGCTCGACCTGCGTCCTCCTGCCTTGCACCCCACTCTCCCTTTGTCTGATTGGTAAGTCAGGACTCATCCCTAGTCAACCGCTGAAGAAACTGAGGCTCAGAAAGGTGGGACTGCTAGTAACACAGCTGGTTAGTGAGAGGACTTAGGGCCACTACTAGCTCTCCACACCTAACGGGTGCTTCTGCCACTAGTTCTCTTCCTGGTTGCATCACTGGTGTGCGGGGCCCTTCTCTGTTGCCAGAAGAGCTCTGAGGGGTGTGTCACAACGTCAGTGACGTGGGCACTCTCAATCTGTTAGCTCAGGGTGGCCTCCCACTGCCCTGTGAGGTGTTCAGGGTCCAGGCGTCATCACACCCACCCAGCCAGGGAGGAAACAGAAGCCTGGAGGGCCGAGTAGCTGTGACACAGCTTGGGGTGGCAGCACTTTTCCTTCTGCCAGCGTTCCCTTTCCTGCTCAGTTTGACTCATAGATCAGTTGTTCTCAAACGTGGTTTCCCATTGGAATCATCTGAGGAATTTAAATATCTTGCTGCCAGGACCCAACCCCCAAAGATTCTGACTTAATTAGCCAGGAGTGGAGCCCAGGCATTGGGGTTATAACATCTCCCCCCGGGATTCTCCGGTGAAGCAGCGTCAAGAACCACGATCTCAGATCATCCCTGTTACAGGGCTGTTGGGAAAGCTGACAGTTCTAGCAGTTCCCAGACTCTATTTCAGACCGAGTTCCAGCCCTCCGAAATCAAACCTTGCCCGCCTTTGCTCCAATTGATGGCCGCTTGCGTTTCAAAAGAACTGGCAGTGCTGAATGAGGACGCTAGGGGAATAGGGGCATGGAGAAGTCCCAGAGATGTCATGTCTTGTGTCCCTATTGTGTACTGGACCCTGTTCTAGCACAAAGAGACCTCTGCTGATGTCATCCCCATTTCACAGATGAGAAGACTTGCTCAAGCTGGTAGGGGCAGAGCTGGGGTTTGAAGACAGAGAGCTGGCTCCAGAGGCCGCTGTTTTAATCACTCTGTCTGTTGCTCTGCTCTGTGATGAACTGGTTCGCACTCGGCTGAGAATTTGCTGTCACCAGCTGATCCTTCACGGTGATGCTGAGGCCTCGATCTCATCTGTCACCCTGCTGCTCAAGAGCCTCTAGGAGTCCCCATCACATCTGTGGGGGAAGGGCAAGCCCTTAGCACGGCCTGTGAGGGATTCCCCTTACAGTCTGACCGCTGGCAGACCGTTCTTTCACACTCCATGTCGCACATGCTGTTAATAGTGTTTGAAAAGCTCCCCACCTCTCTCTGCCTGGTGCACTTCTGCTCTTCAATACCTAGCTCAAATATCCTCTTCTCTCATCTACGAAGGAAGAGTCAGTGACGCCTTCCTCTGGGGATCACGAGCTCCTGGAGGAGTGGGACTGTCTCACTCATGGTTGCTCTCCTCACCCGGCATCTGCCAGTGGATGGCCAGCCTCCCACGTGTAGGATGACGTCCTTTACCTGAGGTTCCATTTTATTTCAGCCACGAAGACATATTCTTTTTATCTTCTGAATATCAGAGGATTTTTCTTTCTGTAATGAATTCTTTTCTTCAGGGTGCGTCGGGCTCCACATTGCATAATTGACATTATTTACTGTGTTTTCCCAGGCCGGGCTGAGGTTTCAGAGGAGTTCCGAGCTCCTGTGGAGATTTGCTTCTCTCCAGCCTTGGGCTCTCTGCACTCTTGAACATCTCAGGGCCCAGAAGAAAAAGAAGAAAGCCAGCCAGTTCTGGGAGCAGCCTGGGTGAAGAGAGGTAGGTGTCTTGTTTAGTGTCCAGCTCGATTCCTGAACTCAACCACCACGCACCAGACAAGGCAGAAGCAAGAGGAGTGGTGTCTCAGCAGCCCGAGTGACGTTTGTTTGTTGGCTCATGTGCTGTTGTGGGAACGGCAGCAGATGCTCAGCGAGGAGGAGGCAGGTGCTTTTAGGACAGCCCTCCCAGGCTCTGAAGAGGGCGGGCACACGGGGAGCCCCTAGCTGTCAAGACCCAGTGTGAGACTTTGCCACGGCTACAGTGAAGGGGGCAGGAAAAGTCGAGCTTAAAGTTGCTGGGTGAACTCTTAGAGTTTATTCTGCAGAAATACATGCATAGTTGCAGATGATGTGAATAGGATCTTCATCTCAACATTGTTTGAAATAGCAAACAGTGAGACAGTTTTTATTTACTTATTTCTCTATTTACTTATTGACATACGATGCCTAATTTTTATTTTATTTTTTTATTTAAACTGAGGTATATTTGATTTACAGCAGCAGTCCCCAGACTTTTTGGCACCAGGGACTGGTTTCGTGGAAGGCAATTTTTCCACGGAACGGGGTGGGGGACGGTTTCAGGATGATTCAAGCACATTACATTTATTGTGCGCTTTACTTCTATTATTATTACATTGTAACATATAATGAAATAATTATGCAGCTCACCATAATGCAGAATCAGTGGGAGTCCTGAGCTTGTTTTCCTGCAACTCGATGGTCCCATTTGGGGGTGATGGGAGACGGTGACGCCTGACGTGTGTTGCTTATGTCCAGTCTAGTCTGTAAGATACAGCTTAATTGTCCCTTGCCACTCACTGATAGGGTTTTGATATGCGTCGGCAAGCAATTGATTTATTATGGTCTCTGTGCAGTCAGACCTCTCTGCTAATGATAATCTGTATTTGCAGCCACTCCCCAGCGCCAGCATCACAGCCTCAGCTCCACCTCAGATCATCGGGCATTAGATTCTCACAAGGAGCGCGCCACCTAGATCCCTCACGTGCGCTGTACACAGTAGAATCTAATGCCACCGCTGATCTGACAGGAAGCAGAGCTCAGGCAGTGATGTGAGCAATGGGGAGCGGCTGTAAATACAGATGAAGCTTCGCTCGCTCTCCCGCCGCTCACCTCCTGCTGTGTGGCCCGGTTCCTAACAGGCCACGGACCAGCAGTGGTCCGTGGCCCGGGGGTTGGGGACCCCTGATTTACAATATTGTATTAGTTTTGGGATGACAACATAGCGATTCAAAATTTTTACGGATTAGACTCCATTCATAGTTGTTATAAAATATTGGCTCTATTCCCTGTGCGGTACGATATAGGCTTGTAGATTATTTATTTTATATGTAGCAGTTTGTACCTCTTAATCCCCTACCCCTATCTTCAGTGCCTAGTTTTTAATTGGATTACTGGATATGTAAAGAAACAGAAGAATTTGACCCAAACTTAGGGAGAAAAATAGTCAATAGAAAACAGAGGGCTTCCCTGGTGGCGCAGTGGTTAAGAATCTGCCTGCCAGTGCAGGGGACATGGGTTTGTGCCCTGGTCCAGGAAGATCCGACATGCCACAGAGCAACTAAGCCAGTGCGCCACAACTACCGAGCCTGCGCTTTAGAGCCCGCTAGCCACAACTGCTGAGCCCATGTGCCACAACTACTGAAGCCCGCGCACCTAGAGCCTGTGCTCTGCAACAAGAGAAGCCACCACGATGAGCCCGTGCACCACAATGAAGAGCAGCCCCCGCTCACCACAGCTAGAGAAAGCCTGCATGCAGCAACGAAGACCCAACGCAGCCAAAAATAAAGAAAGAAATAGAAAAAAATTTAAAAAAAAGAAAACAGAATGGAATTTAGATTTTTGAGCTAAATGCACACTTACCTGATCAATTGATTTTATTATTATTATTATTAGGTTCACAGAAAAATTGAGTGGAAAGTATAGAGAGTTCCCATATATGCTCTGTCCCCACATGCAGCCTCCCTCACTAGCAAGAATGGTATAGTCTCCCTCCTGTGCCAGAATGGTATATTTGTTACAACTGACAAATCTACATTCTCCAGCACATCGTTATCACCCGAAGCCCATAGTTTGTATTAGGATTCACTCTCGGTGTTGAACATTCTATGACAACTGTATAATGACACGTATCCACCATGGTAGTATCACATGGCATCGTTTCCCTGCCCTAATAGTCCTCTCTGCTTCATCTATTCGTCTCCCCCAGCGAGATACAATTTACGTGCTCCTCAGTTGGGGATCGGTTGATTAAATCACAATGCCTCCATAAAATGGAGTACTCCACAGCTGTTAAAAAGAATGGGTGGCTTTACGAAGTGATGCGGAACACTCGTGAAGTTCTATTCACCGCTGTCGTCCTTAACAATGTTGATTTTAAAAAATGAAAAGAAGGGGGGCATATCACAGTGTGTAGAGTATGCTGACCTAACGGCTCCACTGATGCGCCCCCACCACTCCCAGATCAGCTGCCTGTACTTCCTACGTCCACACTTAACGCAGTCTGTGGTTCCTGCCTCTGTTGATCTGTACGTCCCAGAAGACAGACCCCTCCAGGAGGGCAGGATCTGTCCATGTGCAAGGATATCATCACCTGGGCCAAGCCCAGATCCAGGCACACCACAGCCTTCCCATTAGTATCTGTGAACGCATGAATGATGAACGGACGGGGGAGTTTTCTTCCCACAGTGTCCTTCTGCCTCCTGCCCCTCAAACACATGGGCTGGAGTGGAAGCCCCGGGTGTCCCTTCTCCTCTCCTGGGTACCGTCCCTGGCCTACCCACCCCCGCCCCTTGAGTCTCTATGCTCTGCCAGGCTTCATTATTCCCCAGATTACAAAGACTCGAGGGGTTGAGGGGAGAGGCTTGAAACGGACCTTCGAGATGATAACATGTAGCTGACGCTGTCAGTCAGGCCGATCTGACTTAATTGATTAATTTTGTTGTATGAGCCAAGCGACCCAGCAGCTGGGAGCGGACTCCTGATCTGACAGCAGGCTGGTGAGTCAGACCCGATGGGTTTGATTCCATGCGCCGGTGTGGCTGCCCATGTGACCTTGGCCACGTTACTTAACCTTGCTGAATCTCAATTTCCTGATCTGTAAAAGGAGGCTAAGAATGCTTCTCTTGAGGTTGTCATGAGGATTAAATGCGATCACATAGGGGAAAGTGCCCTTTGAGGAAAGAGGAAGGTGAAAATGCTTATTGGGTCGGGAGGAAAGTGAGGCAGGCCCACTATTGTCCTCAGGTGCTGCATCCTTCCCTGGGCAACAGTCCTAACTCCAAGTCAGATAGGTTATAATTTGGCTTCCTCTTTTATTCAGTGCACTTCTCTCAGCCTCCCAGGGCTTTCAGCTTAAGCAAATAAATTATCCTGCGCCTTCGGGCTCTGTGTTCTGTAGCCAGCCTATGTTTGAGCATGATAGAGATTCTTATCCGGCCAGGTAATATTACACAGCAAGGGATGACATTTCTTATCAGAGGTCCTGTGGAATCAGAGATAGGAGCCCTTTCTTTTTACCGGCAGCCAGGCCTTCATGTGCACGGCTGGCAGGGAGGGTAAGAGGGGCAGGCCGGGGCCCAGAGTGGGCGGCTTGGGCTGCAGTGGCATCAGCTGGCCCTCTTCTCTCAAGACAGCCACTCCCAATGGCCTGCCTTAACGGATGTAGGCTATTTTGAGATTTTTGCATATGATAGAAACAGGGCAGGGCCCGGGAGTGTGAATGAGGAAGGAAGGAGAGAGCTTGATGCTGCTGGACCAGCTTGGGGTGGAGGCATGTGAGGCGTCTTGCCCTTGTACAGAGAGGCAGGCGGCCTCCTGCTGCTGGGTCCAGGCCGTTCACCGGCCCTGTGGATTGCAGGGTGGAGGCAGCTGAGGCCCAGGTACCTACCAGAGACTTGGCTGTGGGAGTGACGAGGTGCTGGGCGACCTCCACGTCCCCGTCGGGAGGCCGACCTGTGTGGATGCAGCAGGATGGGTACCACACGGGGCTCTGCTGCCCTCGGGCTTCTGTTCGGGAGGCACTGGCAAGTGGGAAGGCAGGAAGGGAGTGAGGTCAGGGCGCTTACTCCTCTGCTTCCTCCCTGCTGGGACCCTGAGTGGTACAGGCAAGGTCTACACAGAGGAGCCTGCGTTAGAATCCTGGTTCTGGGACGCACTCGCTGTACATCAGGCAAGTTGTTTACCTCTCTGCACCTTGGTTTCTTCATCCAGTTTTCTTTCCGTCTCTCACCACTTGCCTTTGGGTTCCATTGATCTCTGTGCCTGTCTTTGGCCCTGAGATGCCAGAGGAAGGGGCACTGCTGGGTCCCCCAGGGTCTGAGGCCAGAGCTCAGTGTGGATGAAGCTCCAGTGTAGACGGAGGTGGTCAGAGTGACCACATGATTTGGGTACCGCGACCTCTGTGGGGGACATATGCTCAGGGCTCTTCTCGTCCTGTGTTTTCGGAAGTCCTGCGCTGCTCTCAAGTAATAATCTTGCCCTCATCAGAAAGGAGAGGGGAAGTGGTTTCTCCCTCTCTCCCTGGACCCCTTCCAGCCAGCGGCCCTGCTCCTGCTTCCTTCCAGTTGGCCTCACTTCCTGTTTTCCTCCCTCTCTTGCCCTGCCTCTCCCGTGCCGGGCCTCGCGTCGGGCATGCCGAGTTTTCCTGTCCCTCACCTCTCCTCCTCCCTATGGCCAAATACAAATTCTGAAAGCACAGCTCTGACCATGTCCCTCTCCATGCGAAAATAGTCTAACCTCTTAGCGTGGCCTTTGAGGTCCACCTCACCTTCACCCCTCCCTGTGATTTTATCCTGGTCACCTTTGGGTGGGACACTGGTCCTGGTAAGCAGGTCGCCTCCTTGTCTTTTGAACCCGCCGCCGTCTTTCTTTGACTTTTATGCTTTGTTCTCGACGTTTCTTCCTCTTTGGATGGCTATGGGGTCCATGGGCTCTGGCCACCGACAGGGCTGTGTTCAACCGCAGCTCTACTGGCGGCTGGCT